AAAAAATTCTTAGTGATACTAAAATAACACTGCAGTGCTGTTATTGATTAAAAAAAAAACATTAAAAAATAAATTTTCGATATTTGAAATCAAATATAAATATTAGACGAAAAAGTTAAAATTTGAAAATGTTGCCTTGGCAACTAAACGAAATAAATAACTTTAAGTACTAAAATTGCTAAAAACATTTTCACTAACTGAAATAAAACTAAAATAAAATAAATTATATTATTATTATTAATATTACATGGAACTAATGATTAAAATAATATGAAACTATTACATGAAAATAAATGTTTATTGAAATAAATGTTGACTGAATAACTAGCTAACTAAATAAATAAGCTGAAATAATACACAATACTTAAATTTAGAATACATAGAATAATAATAATGACAAAAGCACAAAAATAACATTAAAACAATACAATAATACAATAGTAAAAATACAAGGTTAGTACAAGTAAAAATACTGTAATATTATATAAATAATAATAAGATAACACTGATCTGTTTAGACTATAAAATGCATGATTGTAAAATCTTCAAACTTTTAAGATTTCAAAACTACTTCAAACTTTTCTATTTTAACATCAAAGTTTGTCCTGACCATTAACTATTTTTAATTAATTTATTGTATTTAAGGCAATCAACATCATGCCACAAATGCTGTCATAGAGCTTAAAGGACCAGTTTATCCAAAAATAACCATAATTTCCTCAAGCTTATGCATGACGTATGAAAAATTAAAAATAACATTGAACCCCATTGAGTTTAACTGCATTGGCAAATTTTCTAAATATCTTCTTTTGTGGTGTACTGTACAGCTTTGAATGACGTGATGAAATTAAACAAATCAAATAATACAATCTGTCATCAAAGAACTCTTTTCTCTTGGTCTGTGTGGTTATTCGTTCAGCTCCAGCAGGTTTAATAGCATCGTCTCATCTCTATTAAGTATTATACAGACCGACCGCAGATCTGAACACACAATTATTCCAGCTCTCTGTCTCTCACACACACACACACACACACACACACACACAGAGACTAAAGACGCCAGTTAACAAGTCCGTATGAAATAGAAAACGTCAATCGTCCGTCCATCCGTGCGCTCCATATCTTTTATGAGGTATTAATTCTGCTGACAGGAGCTGAATGAATGTAAATACTGACAGCTGCAAACAAACACAGCTATTAGAAAAGCAGAACGAGAGACAGACGTGTCATGTTCATCCTCGCGATCGATCGGCTCGCGCTGAAGCTGGGAGAAGAGTATTGGTCTGTACGGCGAGAATGAGATGAATTCTGACGGCTGGAAAAGAAACGAGATAAGAGACACGACTCATAAACGAGCTCAGCAGAGCTTAATTTACCAAATCCAATCATTAGTCATTAGTGAACTAGTTTACAGCAGTAGTTAAGAGAGAAAATTATGAAAGCATCCATCCATCACACACAAACCTGTTTTATCAAGCTGAACACACACAGGCTAAATAACTAGAGTAAAGGGGAAAAACAACAACAAAAAAACGCAACACATGGTGTATGTGAATATTAAATTCATGTTCAAATCACACATTAAAACAGCAATAAAAAAAATAAAAAAATAAAAAAATAATAAATAAAAATTATTAAAAAAATAAAATAAAAATTCTGGACAATTATAAAGCAAAACAAATACTCTAAAATGATTTTTATTAGAAATAAAAAAAAGCATAAATAAAAGGCTACCGTGATACTTTTTCAATAAAATTAAATCCAATATATATAATTTTTTTGCTTTGCAATATTAAAAATTAAAATGCATTTAATTGTCAAATAATGTTGCAATACAAAAATGGTCCTAAAAACAGATTTAATTTTTTTATGCAAACTATAATTATATGTTTATTCATTTTTTTCATCAACCAGAACTTCAGGGTAGCAACTCACAACTATTTCAATAATTAATCTGTCAATTACAGGGTTATTGTTGTTAATTAAAACTAAAACCATAAAAAAAAACATGTTAATTACATGAAACAAAATAAATATTAAGTGAAATAGAATAATATATTTAAAATAATAATTATATGGTTATGAATTTAACAAATATAATAATGATAATTTATTAAATAACTTATTACAGGACGAATAAAACGTCTCGGTTACGTATGTAACCCTCGTTCCCTGAAGGAGGGAACGGAGACGTCACGTCGGATGACCGACGAATTGGGATCTCGCTTAGAGGGACCAATCTACTTCGAGTGTATGCGTTGCATCTGCTGCCTACTTATACTCACGCTGTGATCAGCAGCAGCTGGATGCAATAATCGCATGCCAATATGCATTGGCTCGTTTAGTTTACACTCGAAGTAGATTGGTCCCTCTAAGCGAGATCCCAATTCGTCGGTCATCCGACGTGACGTCGAGAGTGACCGACTGAAAGGGAACTAAAACTAAAAAAATTAAAAGTTAATAATGCTACAAAGACATTTAAAAAACAAATTACAAATTACAAAAACAAACAATAAAATGAAAACAGAAAATATAAAAATAAAATCCAATTCGAAATATTAACAAAAACTGTATCAATAATACTAAAATAACACTGGTTGATTATTTCCTTAATTAAATCAAATAATCTGATATTTCACATTTTTCCCAATGCTCTTCAACAAACAGATGTGTCAACTGAAGTCAAATGCATGCAATACACTACAGCATGTGCAAAAAACAGTTTGTTACGCATGCAAAGCAAAGACTTGACTAACTATAATATTTACTCATTTATCAATCAGCAATTGCAACCCTACAGAAGCCATTAATTTTCAATGCATTTTAATTTGCAGTGGCATAAGCAATATGATGTGGGCGTGTCCAGAGAACAACAAAGATGAGAGAAGTTTAACTTTATGCAAATGAGATGTGCAGAACTAATAGGAATGAAGATAACACCGCTAATGTGACCAGTTAGTCCTGTAGCACTTCATGCAAGTGCATGCATGCAAATAAATGCTTCAGAATGCAGCTATGCATTCTGCAAAGTGCACTACAGCCGATGCATTGCGTTTGTGATCATACGTTCAATGCTACGGTCAGATGTGCCATGCATCAATAACATCAGGTCTGAACGGCCAGAGTAAAGCGAGCCGTGACCTCCATCGAGTGTGTGAACAGCAGGCCAGAGAGTGTGAGAAACGGCTGTCGAGTTAAACGCTCCTCTGAGACGAGAGAGCAGGATCATTAAAAACGATCGATAGCTAACAAGCACTGTTCACGTCCCTTTATCTCCATCACACCTCCGTCTCTATCACTCCATCCGTCTCCAACAATCAGCAGAGAAACGCCTTCAAACACTCCAGATGCTGCACTTTGCTTTTCAAAGCATTCATTTTAAACGGGACTTTTCTTGATTTTGGAAATAAAAGTTATTGATTATTGATGCACAAACTGAAAATGCATTTTTCCAAGTCCAAACAGAGCATTTATTCCCACTAGACTGAAAACAAGGGCTCACTGAACATCAACCAGGGTTATTATACTTAACTAAAACCATAAAAATAAATAAATAGTTACCTGAAATAAAATAAAATATCGAAAAATACGTTTAATTTTATTTCAGATAGTTTCCGAAGCAACATTTCTCATTTTCATTTAGTTTAACGTGATGTCCTAAAATAACTACAACTGAAATAAAAATTAATAAAAACAATATAGACATATTTAAAAAACAACAAAAACTAATAAAAATGACAAAAACACACTCATTAAAAAATTACTAAAATTAATTATTAAACAAAAATTAAAATTAACATGAAAGCAGAAAATATAAAAATAAAATCTGATTCAAAATATTTTTAAAAAACTATAATAGTTTTAACACATGCAGCGGCTTTAGTTTTTTTTTTTTTTTAGCCTTTTATTAGAATACAAAATAGCAAGGGCCTCACGCCCTTTTTTTTTTTTTTCAACAAGATCCCAGATCATAAAAACTGGACACTGGATCTGGCAACAAAAAAGATCATTAGATTATTACCATTAAATGATCATTTAATTCTAACCTCATTAGAACACACAAACTTTGATGTTGGCTTGGCAAAGCCAGCCAGTGCAGCCTTGGGGCAAAAGAGCAAGAGTACTTGTGTGTCCAGTGTTCTTGAGCTGCCCCGCTGCAAAAAAATGTACAACAGTATTTTTCTATGGACCCTTGCTATTTTAAGCTTCATGCCTTAACCATTACACACATGCGGCAACCTCCCGCTCTCTCTCGTGAAGCCAACACGGAAGTGACTTAAACTGTAATTCATCGACTGGCCGCTAGAGGCTGGCTGCAAAAGGGAGTCAATCCCATAGACTCCCCATGTTAAAATGCCCAACTTTACAGCAGAAAAAAACATGTTTACAGCCTGGTTCAAAAAATGATTGTGGTCTATATAGCAAATTTTGCCCTTGATGACAACTGTGAGGGGGGTGAATTTTTTTATAAGTCATCCGTTTAAATTATATTAAGCCTTAAAGTTCTGCATAATTAAGGGCGTGCCCACTTGAGTGACAGGTGGATTGCCGCTGCTGTCACCACCGTCGAGCTAGGTGGGCGTGGCTTCAGCAACCTATGTAAATAAGTATGTAAATAATTTTTACTAACATTTTACAGATTCTGCAAAGGTTAAACTACCGTTTTAAAGTTTGAGGTCAGTAAGATTTTCCTTTTTTGCAAAAAAATAATACTTTTATTCATCAAGGACGCATTAAATTGATCAAAAGTGACAGTAAAGGCATTTCTAATGTTACAAAAGATTTCTATTTCAGATAAATGCTGCTGTTTTAAACTTCTATTCATCTGTGAATCCTGAAAAACAAAATGCGTCACGGTTTCCACAAAAATATTGGTAATATTGCTAATAATCAGAAATGTTTTTTGAGCAGTGAAGCACTGAGGACTGGAGCAATGATGCTGAAAAAATTTCAGGTTCGATCACAGAAATAAATTACATTTGACTATATATTTACATAAGAAAACACCTATTTTATATTGTAATAATATTTCACAAATTTTACTGTTTTTGATCAAATTAATTCAGCCTCGGTGAGCTCATCTTGTGCAAATGGCCTCTGCCTTTTAATATCTGCTCAGCTCTCAGATGTGATAAAGAAAACAGTGAGAACGAGAGGTCAAAGTTCACCATCTGCAGCAGTGAGATACAGAACAGAAGAAGAAACAGATGAAACACGACTCACAGACAGACAGACGTTCAGGGGTTTCTCTTTCACAGCGCTGCCACTAAAGATGAATGACAGATTTAAACTAATACAATTAAACACTGAATGAATAAATGAACACACAGTATAACTGAGTGACAGTCCTGGGAGAAACACACACGTTTCCTTTCACACACACTGTTCGGCTCGGCAACTGCTTTCCAATCAGTGGTGATTCATGTATTGTCATCATCATGACGAACCTCTTAAATGAACAGACTGTCACAACATGAGCTCACACTCACAGCCATCCACAAGCGCGAGACTATTTACTGTGTTTCTGCTACTGTACCTTTAAGACTCATTCCACATGTCATTCTGTATGCAAATGAGCTCCGTTCTGATTGGTTAACGTAAAAGGAGTAACCTTGATAAGTTGTGGGTTTGTTAACAGTTTCTGATCACACAGCTATGGAAGTTTATTTCCACCATAGAATAAAAAATATCGTGACTTTTTATCTCAGGTCAGACTTGTCTTCTGAGAATTTGCGAGTTTATATCTCACAGTTTGGACTTTTTTTTAAATTGCAGGTAAAGAAACTCTGAATTGTTTCCGCCACGGAAATGGAAAAAGAAAAAGAAAATTGCGAATTTTTATCTCACAATTCTGACTTTTTTTACTTACAATTATGAATTTATATCTCACAATTCAGAAGTTTTTCTCAAAAATGCAAGAAAAAAACTTTGAATTGCTTCCACCACAGAATAAAAATAAATAAAACATTTAATGTAACAATTTTTTCATCTCACAATTCTGATGATGTTCTCCTCGCAATTCTGAGTATATATATATATATCTTACAATTCAGGTTTTTTTTGTGAGAAAAAACATGGAATTAAAAAAATATTTTATTTTTCCACAATTCAGAATTTTCTTCTGAGAACTGCACGTTTATATCTCGCAATTCTGAATTTTAATCTTGCAAAATTGTGAGAAAAAAATCAGTATGATAAAAATTCAGAATTGTAATGAAAAAGTCAAAATTGTGAGGTAAAAGTTTGCAATTACCTTATTTATTTATTTATTTTATTGTGTGGCAGAAATAAGCTTGCATACAGTCGTGTAAATGTGATTACGTTCATCTACCCAACATCAGAAAGTTGCAAAAGTTCAGAACAAGTCTTTTTTGCTGTTTAACTTCAATAAAAACATCTTTTCTTCCTCTGCGTGGGAGGTCTGGCAAATTAGTGTTTTTTTTTTATCATGCAATGAACACTTTTATTTTAAAAGATCACGGACAATTTGATTTCTCCAGATGTGACCTTTAAAACGGCTGAATATTTCTCCAGCGATTCCTCTTATTTTCATCATAAGCACCTTATGCGTGTGTCTGTTAATGTCGTACTGCCATCTGCTGGTCACTAAAGCGCTGCATCCGCCTCCACTGACACAAAATGTCTTATTTTAACTTGATTAGGTGAATTAATCTTTAATGTAGGACCACCCGCCTCCTCTGTTGTCATGGCGACGGGCAGAGGGTCTCCACGGCGACCAGTGTTCAGCATTCTGAATGACAGTGATGAGAAGCTGATTGATGGCTTTAATAATAACAAAAAAAGGATGTTTAATCTCTAATGCTGATGTAATTTAATTCCAAAACCCTAAACCATCTTTTTCTCTCTCTTATCCAGAACAGATAAACTCTGCTCTTCAAAATCAATCATTACAGACAAGATTGATTGAATCGCTTTAGGGATCTCACTTAAAAATCATGTTTTAGGCCTGTATGTAATGATTTACAGACATTAAAAAAGCCATTTTTCAAACTTCACGGTGTTTAAAGCAGGCAACTGAAAGTCTCAAAGACCACATACATGCAGTAAGTTTTAGGAGTGAGAGCTGCACTTAAATCAGGGTTATTACTGTTAACAAATATTAGAACACAAAGATTATTTGAAATTATTTAAAATAAAACAGACATTAAATAAAATAAAATATACATAAAAAACTAAACTTATTATATTTCAGCTAGGTGCCATGACAATATTTCTCATTTTCATTTAGTTTAACTTGATGTACTGAAAGTAAAACTTAAATAAAAAATATAGACATATAAATATATAATATGTAAATACACTTAAACAAAAAATACAAATGACAAAAACACACAAATACTAAAATGTTAACAAATGAAAATGTCAAATAAACCGAACTGAAGAAATTCAATGAAATTACACTAATGAAAAAAATATATAAAAACATTTTTTGTTACTTGAAATAAAATAAATGTTAAATAAAATATATATATACAAATATTATTATATAATTATATTTTATCTAGTTGCCAAAGCAAATTTTCATTTCATTTAGTTTAACTTGATGTACTAAAGTAAACTCAAAACTGAGTTTAGATTTTATTTTACAAATAAAAATGAATAAAATACATAATATATCAATGTATGGGAAAAAAACAATAAAAACAATAATGTTAACAAACAAAAATGAAAACAGAAAATACAAAATAGTTGAACTAATTCAATAAAAATAAAACTCAATATATAAAAAAAAACTATAATAGTATGAAAATACTAAAATAACACTGATTTAAATGCAGAGGTGAATGATTTAAAATAAAAAGCAGTGTAAGACAGACATCAGATCAGACTTTAGACGATTTTACATCTTTCTCTGTCATTTAACAGAAGGACCTTTCTTTCCATAAACCTCCAGTGTCTCACTCACTCTTTCACACACACACACACACACACACTGTGGTCTCTTTCCTCATGCACATCATGTGAGGTACACGTAATCCAGGCAGCACATGAGTCCTCTAAAAACACACACTTGCATTTACTACACATGTGGCATTTCCAGAATTCTGGCCATCACAATTACAACAACAACAAAAACTATGCTTATACACACAAAACACAAACCTTTATTTTAAAACGTCCCTAATTACGGCATGCAAAAACTGACATCCTTTGGAACCTACAAACATGTGCATTCAAACTGAATTGTATTTAATCGAATTTAACTGAATGCAGTTTGAATTCTTTCTGTTGGAAATGCCAGGAATGTCATGTGACCTCAATCACACTTCTGCTTACACACACACACACACACGGTCCAGCTTTCAGATCCGCTCAAGTCTTTGTAATCCCCACATTAGCTTTGTGCCAAAAACTTCCTGAGGTTTAATGGAGTAGCTCGGGTTCTTCAGATCACCTTAAACATACAAACAAACACAACAATACATTTTACCCTAGAACCCAACACTACAGGTGAATATGTTAAAAACATTAACTAGTACATTTCACCATACGTCCCCAGTTGATTGAGTACATTAAGGATTGCAAACATGTTTTGCATTGCAAAAGTTATGTTTAAATATGCAAATGAGGCATTATCTAATTACATTTTCACTCATTTGGGTACATTTCCAGAGAATAGATCTGAAGATTGGATAAAACCAGGTTCAAAATTCTTTTTTGATTTTGTTGACATATTAGAGTTAAAGGTTTGTATAGAGGGGATTTTGGATTTCTCTTTTTATCACTTCAAAAAAGACTGTCAAAAGACAGACAAAATGTATTTTTGCCATGTTTTCAGGAATAAAATGTTGTATAAATCAGTGTGAATGATATATAAACAAACCCCTCAGTAAAAACCTTCAGAATATAGATAGTAATAAAACTCTAAGATTTGGTGTGTGTAAGTGCTGCTGAAGTGGAGAAAAAACAAATTTTGTGAAAACGGCCTTTAAAGATATGTATTGTAATTGCAATCTACAGACATAAGTAGATAAAGTGCAATAAAAAAATGTGAATGATATGTGAACAAACCCCTCAGCAAAAACCTTCAGAATATAGAGAGGAATAAAACTCTAAGTTTTGGTGTTTGTAAGTGCGGCTGAAGTGGAGAAAAAAACTCTCTAAAGTTATGTACTGGAATTGAAATCTACAGACGCAAATAGATAAAGTTGTCACTTTCAGGAAAGAAATTTTTAAATAAAGAGTTTTGGGAAGCTTAATGGTGGCGATGTTGGTGGTGTAATTCATTTATAGCCTATGTTTAGCTTTTTACTTCTGCCAATATTAACTAGGCTTCAAAATGCATAAAAGTTGTGTTCATTTGTGTAGATTATCATGCTGAACAAAATGTGTAAGAATCATAAAGCTTTGATCTTATTTTCTGCAATAATCCAAAAGCCAATGGAAAAATCCTGTTGGGTTTTTGTTAAGGGAACCAAATTGGTTGTAACTTTCAAAAAATTGGTCTTCGCTGCAGTGCTCCATTATTAGGGTTGGGTATCGTTTGTTTTTTTGTTTTTTTCGATACTGGTGCCAAATCGATACTTTTAAAACGGTTCCGGTGCCTAAACCGATACTTATTAAAAAATAAATAAATAAATAAAGACTACACAAAAAATTATGGATTGGCCATTAGCAGTAAACAGAACATATAAACGTTTTGAATGATAAAACAAAGACAATAAACACTCGACTGCGACAATTTAGTTTATCTGTGTTATTCAAGCCATCTCTGGTATTTTCATAATATTTAAGTATATTTATAATCCATTGCTAATCGAATCGATGTATTCTTAGCCTATGGAACCTATTTTCTTCCTCATTCTGTGATAAGAAGCCACATCAGATCACAAAAGGAAGCATTTGACTGGTGTTGGGGAGTAAAAAAGGTTATAATGTTCTCTTTTGTTGGACAACAGGTTTAGAAATGTGAATACAAGGGAGGTTTAGCTTTAGGCATTTTAGTTTAAGCATGTTTAGCTTAGTTAACGGAAGGCTACCTGCTGCCATCAGAGCAAGTGTAATTACTGCATTCACGCGCTCCTCGAATGCTCTTGTTTCCCGAGTTGTGCTTTTGAGTCGGAATGTGAAAACAACATGGACACTCGTGTTACTACAAAGATTTGTTGGATTTGTATTATTAGCGCTTTCTGACTTCACGTGCATTTTCTCAGTCGGGAAATTATTTTTCACGTGCGGTGTTTCTTACGTCTGTTTCGGAGAACCAGAGGACAAATATTTCAATCGATCGCTCAGGCATGGCACCGAAATGAGGCACCGAAATCTGCGTTCTGATTCGGTTCTAGTACATACCGGTTACATAGGTACAGTGGCATATTGGTACCGGGTTTCGGTACCCAACCCTATCCATTATCTACTACTAAACACACTTAACAACCTGCACACAAGAATTCAGGCTAACAAACAGTAGAAAACACTAAAAATAAACTAACAAACTACCTTTAAACAACAAGAAACAGTCCAGTAAACTCAACACCCACCGGACATGTTGGATCCAGCCATGATCCCAGTGCAGCCGTTAAACATCACCGCAAAAACAGTGGCGAAGGACATCATGACGCCGGTGGTGTAGTCCACTACGTAGTCAGCTAAACACACACAGACAGTAGATTAACTGTCTGTAACTTTTGCAACAAAGCATTTGTGATAATAATGATAATAAGTACATTTACATGTATGCATTTAGCCGTTTATTCAAAGCCACTTACAAAAGAGGAACAAAAGCAACACGTAGAAGAGCCAACAATATTTGTGATATACAATGCAAGGTTTATTAGATAACCAAAATAAAAAGCAAACTAGAGAAGAGGAGAAATGCAGAGAACAACAAGAGTGTTTTTTAAAGTAATTATAATTACATATAACTGTAAACTTCTGAGTTAAAAAGAGATGTGGAAGAGAAAACATGAACTAACAATGAACAATACTTCAACAGTGGTTATAATCTTAGCAAATGTGAAGGTCATTAAATTTAAAAAAGTGTTAATATTTGAGAACTAACATATAAAAAGTTGTTTTATTATTTTTTTCAACTTTAAAAAGTATTTTATTAACATTAACAAAGATTATTTAATGCTATTATTCATTAATACGTAATATTAATTAACTACATAAACTTTAGGGTTAAGATTAGGGTTTGATTTAGGGCAAGTTATTTCTAATTATGCATAATTTACTGGTAATGTTATAGTAATGTTATAATACATACATGTAACGAGTTACTAATATGCATTGCTCGCTGTTGGTTTATTTTTGATATATTAAATTCATATTCATGTTAAATATATATATATATATATATATATATATATATATATTCATATTTACATATGAATTATTTTATATATTATATATCTATATTATGCATCTTAATATATTAAATGTTTTTCAGTATGCTTTTTATTTAAGTTTCAAAGATTTTTTACTTTACTTTTTTTTCTTTCTTTCTTTGTTCTTTCAAATTAATTATTTTAATTTCACATTTTTATGATTCATTTAATTTTCAGCTTTTCACGGACTCAATGTGGGAAGACTGATGTTACTAAATTGAAAACATTACATAAACTAAATATTTCTCTACAAAAGTGATGCTAGTCTTTAACTTCAGAACTAATATAGCTTCACACTAACATGAGAACAGCAGATCTAGTGTCACGTTACTAAAAACATGCTTGGGTTTGAATTAACTAGCTGCTTTTAGTTACTGTAGCTTCTGATAACATGCATTTTACACGTGTGACACTCGGTTAATCATGAAGCTGGTTAATTAATATCATGTGAATGCATCTGTTTCTTCATTAAGGAAGTGGCCTTTTTACAGAAGTGTCCCATTTCTCTGTTCTCAGACATGATATCAAACACTGAAATTTTTACAAACCATAACGTCTCTTATATATTATATATCTATATTATACATCTTAATATATTAAATGTTTTTCAGTATGCTTTTTATTTAAGTTTCAAAGATTTTTTACTTTACTTTTTTTTCTTTCTTTCTTTGTTCTTTCAAATTAATTATTTTAATTTCACATTTTTATGATTCATTTAATTTTCAGCTTTTCACGGACTCAATGTGGGAAGACTGATGTTACTAAATTGAAAACATTACATAAACTAAATATTTCTCTACAAAAGTGATGCTAGTCTTTAACTTCACAACTAATATAGCTTCACACTAACATGAGAACAGCAGATCTAGTGTCACGTTACTAAAAACATGCTTGGGTTTGAATTAACTAGCTGCTTTTAGTTACTGTAGCTTCTGATAACGTGCATTTTACACGTGACACTCGGTTAATCATGAAGCTGGTTAATTAATATCATGTGAATGCATCTGTTTCTTCATTAAGGAAGTGGCCTTTTTACAGAAGTGTCCCATTTCTCTGTTCTCAGACATGATATCAAACACTGAAATTTTTACAAACCATAACGTCTCTCACCTTGCACGTTTCCCAACAGCGTGTCTAACTTGAAGCCGGTGAAGTTGGCGCTCGTCGGGCCGAGCGAGGCATTTCTGTGGCCGGGTAGTTGGACGGTTCGAAACGGCACGGCGAAGAAACTGATGAAGATGGTCCCTAAAACCACCATGACGATGATGAAGATGAGGAAGGTGGCTTTAGCGTAGATATGAGCCCCGACCAGACACACCAACACACACAGCAGCAGAATCACTGTCCCGTACAGCAGAGACCACCAGTAACCAGTCGGCAGAGCCGCGTACCCAGAGCCAGTCAGTGACGAGCCGTCTGAGACACAGCATAAAAATACTCATTAAAATGTATCTAGTCGAAATAAAGTGACACTTTAATAATGACATTTTATTTAACTAATTAATTTTAAATTAATAAATAATAAATATTTTTATTAATTTATTTATTTAATAGCAATTATAGCCATTAATGCTGGAAAATAATAAAAAAATATTAAGTTATTTAATTGCAATAAATAGTTTTTTTTAAATACTTCATTTAGCCTTTGATGCTGAAAAAAAAAAAAAAAACAAATAAACTAAAATAAATAAATAAATAAACTAAAATGAATAAATAAATATTTTTATTCTTTTATTTAATTGCAATTAATAGCTATTGATGCTGAAAAAAAATTATTTAAATTTAAATAAAATTTTAAAATAATTTGCTGGGGGGGAAATTGCTGGGAAAAATATTAATTAATAATATCCACTGATGCTGAAAAAAAATAAATGAAATAAATAAATATCTATTTTAATTCATTTATTTAATAGCAAGTAACTGACATAAGTTGAAGTACTGAAATTATTAAAACTGAAACATAAAAAATGCAAGCAATTCAAGAAAAAAAAAAAAAAAAGAAAATGCAAAATGCACATAGCAAAATTACTAAAACTGAAACTAAAATTTGAGTTTATCAATTCATGCATTCCCTGGGACTCAAATCCATGACCTTGCCATTGCTGGCGCCATGCAACATAAAGCATCCATAGATAAGAGAAAAACACTTATGCAGAGTGGATTCACTGTGGTTCACTAACTGAACGCATATTGTGCTAATTACCCTTACATGTGTCAACGGGATAATGCACAACTATACAATCAATGCAAACACATGCACAAGCTACCATCAGAAATCCCGAAGGTTGTGAGAATCGCCTCCACCAGTCCCAGCACAAAGAGGGCGCTGCCGCACACGTTAGCCAAGAAGAACATGATGCCGATGCTGCCGCCGAACTCCGGACCGAGAGCACGACTGATCATGTCTGTGGATGCAAACACAAGCACACGCAGACACAACAACACAGCTAAGGAAATAAACGACAGGAAGAGTCATGCATGTGTTTATGTTCGCGTGATATGAGGATACAATACGCTCCTCCGGCGTCCAGCGCTCCGTTAGTGGAGATCGCACACACGGACAGAACCGTCATACTGATGATGAAATACGCCACCAGCAGCATCGCTATAGTCTGATACAGACCACACTGACCCACAACAAAACCTGCGCGACAAAACAGCACCGGTTACACCACTGAACACCGTCTTAACCCTTATATTACAGGGTTGAGTTTCAGAAATACTGGTTAAAGCAATAGTTGGCCCAAATGTGCTGAAAATGCACTCACCCTCAGGACATGCAAGATTATGATGAGTTTGTTTCTTCATCAGATTTGTAGAAATGGATCATTGCATCAGTGTCTCAGCAATGGATGCTCTGCAGTGAATGGGTGCCGTCAGAATGAGAGTCCAAACAGCTGATAAAAACACCACAAGTAATGCACACCACTCCAGTCCAGCAGTTAACATCTGGAGAAGACAAAAGCTGAAACAAATCCAGCATTAAGACTAGGGCTGCACGATTAATCGAAATTAAATCGCAAAGGCGATAAATCGCGAT